GTATAACACTTAGAAGATTACTCGTTAACTTATGCACAATTTTTATTTGAAAAAAAAAACTGATGAAAATTTTTCAAAATTTCCTAATTAAACAGCGATTATGAAAACGCACAAGGACCCTTAAGGATAACTATTTGCACAACAGTGGGCGTCAAAATGCTGCTGATGATGATTTACCTTAACAGCAAATGCTCAAACTGTTTTCCTTCAGCCGCAATACACGCTCGACATCTTCTTAAAAAAGATCGGGTTATTAAACGAGCGAATCCACGGTTATTAACAAACTCAGCTGCTTCCAATAGTCTTTGCCGTAGCTCAGCTACATTTTGAATCGGCTTGAAATACACTTTTTCTTTTACAGTTCCCCAGTAAAAAAATCTAAAGGATTCAAATCAGGTGATCGGGCTGGCCACGGTATTGTACCAGACCGCCTTATCCATCAGCCTGGAAAGTTTTGATCTAGATACTCTCTCACTGAGAGTGCATAGTGCGCTGGGCAGCCATCATGCTGAAACCACATGTCCCTGTAAATACTCATTGGCACGTCCACCAATAAATGTTGTACATGATTTTTCAAAAATCCAAATAAACTTCAGCAGTCAAAGTCTCTGGGAACTCAAACGGACCGATTATTTTACCATTTAAAATTCCTGTCCAATGGTTTATCTTGAAGCGATATTGAGATTTATGTTCTCTCATCAAATGTGGGTTTGCTACGTGCCACTCGTGTAAGTTATGCAGGTTCATGTACCCATCTTTCTTAAATGTGGTCTCATCCGACCATAAAATTTTTTTAAAGAACTGTGGATCTTTCCTGTGTCTTTCTAACATTGTGCGACAAAAAGCAACTCGGGGCTCATAATCCCGGGGCAGGAGAGGTTGAACCCGCTGTATGTGGTATGGATGAATCACATCACTTACTTGCTATTGCACACTTTGATACCGATCAGTACTCCTTCATTTACTGCTCATCTTTACATGTTCGTGCTTGTTGATTTCGTAATGTTACTAATTTTGGATTCGTGAACTGGACTGTTGATCGCTTGTGATTTGGATTTGGACTGTGTAATTGCTCTTCAAAACAACATTTGCTTTCCTTAGACTATCTTTGATAGTGTGATTGTGCAGTGCCGCTATGTCCGTGTACACCGTTCAAGAATATGCTAACATGCACCTCATTTATGGGGAATGCAGATGCAACGCTAGTGCTGCAGCGAGACTTTACTGTGAGAGGTACCCGAATGCAGCTCGTCATCCAGATCATCGAGTGTTTACAAACGTGCACCGCTTACTGTTCTCAGAGGGCCAACTACCAAACCAATTACACGGTGAGGGAAGATCTTTCCTTCCTTACGAAGACGTGGTGCTAGGAGCTGTCGAAGAAGACCCGAGTACTTCAGTGCGTGCAATAGAACTAAAAACAGGTGTGCCCAAAAGTACAGCCCATAGAATCTTGCAAAAAAACGTGCTCCATCCATATCACGTACAGCGTGTTCAAGCTCTTCTGCCCCGGGATTATGAGCCCCGAGTTGATTTTTGTCGCACAATGTTAGAAAGACACAGAGAAGATCCACGGTCTTTGAAAAAATTGTATGGTCTTATGAAACCACATTTAAGAAAGATGGGTACATGAACCTGCATAACTTACACGAGTGGCACGTAGCAAACCCACATTTGATGAGAGAAGATAAATCTCAATATCGCTTCAAGATAAACCATTGGACAGGAATTTTAAATGGTAAAATAATCGGTCCGTTTGAGTTCCCAGAGACTTTGACTGCTGAGGTTTATTTAGGTTATTTGCAAAATCATTTAGAAAATTTATTGGTGGACGTGCCACTGAGTATTTACAGGGACATGTGGTTTCAGAGAAACTTTCCAGGCAGATGGATAGGGCGGTCTGGTACAATACCGTGGCCAGCCCGGTCACCAGATCTGAATCCGTTAGATTTTTTTTACTGGGGAACTGTAAAAGAAAAAGTGTATTTCAAGCCGATTCAAAATGTAGCTGAGCTACGGCAAAGACTATTGGAAGCAGCTGAGTTTGTTAATAACCGTGGATTCGCTCGTTTAATAACCCGATCTTTTTTAAGAAGATGTCGAGCGTGTATTGCGGCTGTAGGAAAACAGTTTGAGCATTTGCTGTAAAGGTAAATCATCATCAGCAGCATTTTGACGCCCACTGTTGTGCAAACAGTTATCCTTAAGGGTCCTTGTGCGTTTTCATAATCGCTGTTTAATTAGGAAATTTTGAAAATATTTCATCAGTTTTTCTTCAAATAAAAATTGTGCATAAGTTAACGAGTAATCTTCTAAGTGTTATACCATTTTGGAATTCTTATTAAATGCGCCAACTTTTAAGGTTACTTGCCAAACTCTCGTAATACATTTTTTTCCAGTACAGCCAGTTAAAGTTGAGCAAAGTTTTACTTTGGAATACTTGGTTGAGAAATAAGTGGTAATTTTCCCTGAACGAGAAAGGTTGGCAGTAAGGTTGAGACACCAGTTTAAAGATGCATTATTCATCATTACATTGTAAAAATAAAATCCAAAAAAGTTAATATTTGTAGGAACAGGAGTTGACAGACTGCCGTAGGGTGTGAAATTTCTATATTTTTTTCAAAGACCTTTAAAATTTTCAAAACACATACATAAAATTTTTTTAAATATTTTTCTGATAGCTTTTATGACTTTGCCTATCACCCGGTTTCGGCTTGACGTAAACTTCTGCGACACCCTGTATATATATCAGCCACGAGAATTTAAGTAAAGTTAGTCTTACTTTATCTGACGATTATCCAGCGTAGTATATACTCAGGCGTTAAGTACATTTCAATGCTGCTGAATGCCTCAAGTTTTGTAACTGAAAAATTAAGTAATCGCCTTACTCTATTAGGTAAAAAAGCAATATGACAACAATCGTTGCTGTTAAATGCACTGGTGCAACGACTATCTGGCCTAAACTACTGCATCTTGTATTTCTCCAGTTACAGCTCGTGTAGAGTTATACATGTTTTCTTCATTTATGTTTTAACGGGCCAAGATAGCAAGCTGGAATTCCCTGAAATTGATCCAAGACATTTTCGCCTAAAAGTGACAGTAAAAGGTCTCAACACCGCGGATCAATTTTTTTTTGAATGAAATGGACCTACACTTGGGGATTATTCTAATGGGTATCTTATAGCTCTAGAATATATAATTTCCCTCTTCTTGAGATTGGAGCGCTGCCAGAGTTGACAGTTTCTTCATATTGTCTCGCTTGTAACTCAAGGACTAATTCTCAAAAAGTTTTATATTTAAATTATTATCAGTCTTTTTTTGATAAGTCCATCAGAATATGCAGCACAATATATCCTGTAGAAACAATGCTAAAATTGATTATTTTTTTCAAGAGATATCTCATACTTTGTTGCAGATTCAGGTAGATCTTTCCTTATAAAAATATGCAGGGTGGCCCATCCATTTATGGCACGTTATACATGATATTTGAGGGCACATTTCTAAAATATTGGCAATTGAGGAGCAGACTTTCCAAAAGCGTTATGCTATGACCCGCATAAATTGAGGAAAGTGGAAAAAACTGCTGTGACAACATGCGTAGCTGCAAATGCTTGATTTTGGTGAATCAAATACCACGAAAATAGATAGGCTTTGATGGTGAAGGAGGATTACCTGGAAAACAAAGAAATTCCATTTTTTGACCAAAAGTAGATTCTATTTGATGCACTTTGTTTGTCCGAAGGTGAAATAAGTCCTTCTGTTGGGAAACGGTAACTTAAGTCAAAATACCTTTATTCCATTTACCGATGAATACAATCTTATAAAAAATAGGCTTAGAGAAAAATATTCAAACTTTCACTTCACCATCATCCTCGATGCAGTTACATACTTCTTGGGCATTATCTTCATCATTGTCTTCATCACTATTCTCTTGTAGCTCTTCAAGGGGCTCTGGAAAAATAGGACGAAGCCATTGCAATTCCTCATCCGCACGCCATCTTTCTGTGGATAGCTGCACCAAAAGGTTATGCAGACTTTTCAACTTTGTCCTTTTTATTTCATGATTCAAAGGCAACCTTGGAAAACTCAAGTTTTCAATCTTATTGTTTTTTTTTAACAACGTCAAGTACTTGGCGTTGGCATCGTCATTTCTGTAAAAGGTTTCTGTTTTCACCGCTACATGTTATTTTGAAGTCCGTTTTATCAAGATTCGCTTAGCATGGATTGATTCGATTTTCTTAAAAGTGGACAAAGCGGATTTCAGGTCATATATTTTCCAGTCAGTCCCAAGCTTTCGAACCAATTCGACTTGAGAATACAACTCCCAGTATTTTTCTGGTGACTTTAGTGTGCTATGGGACCTAATAAGCTTCTCACATCGTCCAAAAATGCGATCCGCTGGCAGGTATGAATGACCTCTTATTGGAAAAACCATTCTTATAGATTGCAGGCCTTTTGGTGCTTCTTTATGTAGCCACATCATTAGCATGTGAACTATGTGACTGTTCTTTTTTTGGCCTTCACATCCATCAGAGAACAACGTCAATTCTTTCAAGTTTTTTGGAAATTCAGCCTTTCTGAGAAAATCGTAAAGAGCAGAACCAACTTCTGTGGCACCCCTTACTGCTTGGTGTTCTAACCATGAGTAGAAAATTGGTCGCTTGCAAGGTATGCCTGTGATACAGAAAACATACAAGGAGAGTTGCTGTGCATAGAATGCCTCTGAAATCGGTACTTTAGGGAGAGGTTTTACCTGCTGAAGATCGAAGCAGAATGCCATGCCGTCTTCAGATTTTTCCTTCATCATTTTAAAAAACTGCTTTGCTCGTAACTTATGTACTCTTAAATTTGTAATAACAGTTTGCTTTTCGCGTTGGCCGTTCACCATAGAGAGCAGATTTGTGCCGCATACAGAATCCACAAACATCGGTCGCCGGTGTACCGAATCCTATGTTAAAGTCATTCGAAAAAATGCGACTAAAGTACTTGTAATTTACTCTTTAGCTTTCTTCAACGCTATCATTGTATAGCCTATGCAGTATGGTGATATTGTACTCTGCAGATAAATATATCCTTTTAGATTTCGCTCTTCCGTAGTGACTCTCTTGCCCCTTTAAATTTGCGATGAATGCTTTCACTTTTTTGCGCTTTTCCACATTTTTCTGCGAACGTCTGTCACCACCATGATTTTCAGAAATACCCGATCCAGCTTTCATTTGCCTAGAAATATTTTATATTTTAATACCAAAAATTTTTAAAAACATTTTCTGACAAATTCTTTTCTTGCTGTTGGAGCTCCACACATTGTAATGCACAGTAATGTTGCGGTTTCAATTAAAGCTTTGGTCTGAACGTTTCTTTCTCCTAGGAGTTCCAATTTCAATTAAATGAGACAGTTTTGTATCTTGCTTAACCTCGTCTTTTTGTGAATAAAACTTTTGTCGGCAGCGCCTTAGATCTTCGAAAGGAATATCCTTACATGAAAGTTTTTTATTTCTGCCATGCTTACAGGAGACGTCGAAACCATCAAGGTTGGGATCAGGGTCATCGTATCTAGAAATAAAACCGCAAACTATGAGAAAATTCCCCAAATAACATAATTTACTATATCTACCGTATTTCTTTCTGCCGCTGCCGTGATGTTGCACCCCATTTTCGTTTTCTACTGCCTCTGTCTTGATCACCAACAATATGCTCTTCATCCATAATAGTGGTCCGACCGATCTAACCCACTCGATATCACTATGCTAACTGAAGCAAGTTACGACAGGATTACAATCTTGAGACACGTGTCTAAACAAAAGGGTTTACTTGCTGCTCATCCAAAATATACTGGACAAACAAAAAGCGTTCATGCACTAACTAGCTTATCAAAGTCTATTTGTTTGTCCAACGCAGAAACAAATAACGCTCTTTGAAAGTCTAGACGTGTTAACGGGCGTTATATTTATCGTTTAACATCGTTTTGGATGTCCAAGGAGCGGTTGACAAATGGAGATGAACCTATACATTTGATCGCCATCTTTTGGCCAATTTCGTAAAAACTGCACTTAATGCTTTTTGAAAGTCTGCTCCTCAATTATACAGGATGTCCCAATTTTGAGCTACATATCAAAGTTGTGTTTTTTTAAATGGAATGCCTCAAATTTTATTGTATATTTGGATAAATCAATTCAAAAGAAGAAGATTGATATAACATACTATGGGGTTCTGGTAATTAGCTACTGAGATGTAAGGTGTTTTGTCCAGAAAAACAGTCCACTTTGGCAACTCCTCAATCCGCTATTTTGAAATTTGCAGTATTATATATTTATTTTATTTTTTTATACAAAATTCAGCACTCGAAATTTCAAAATAGTGGACTGAGGGGTCACCGAAGTGGAGGGTTTTTCTAGACAAAACACCTTATATCTCAGTAGCTAATTACCAAAACACCATTGAATGTTAAATCAATTTTCTTCTTTTGAATTGGTTTATCCAAATATGCTATACAATTTGAGGTGTTCCATTTGAAAAATCAAAACTTTGATACGTAGGTCGAAATTGAAGCACCCTGTACAATGACCAATATTTTAGAAATGGGTCCTCAAATGTCATGTATAACATCGCATAAATAGATTTTCCCAAAATCTATTTGTTTATGAATAATATACCGTCCATACTTGGATGGGCCACCATGTACAGAGTGTCTGCGAAATGTTGGGAAATCTCGAGACTAGAGGTTCTGCAGACCAAAATATGTGAATTGACCTAAACACACCGTAGTCCAAAAGTTGATAGTTTGCGAGATACAGGGGTGTCAAAGTTACAATTTTATTTTCTATTTTTCCTTATTGCTCGAGAAGTATTTCAGATTTTGGCATGAAACTCGGTATAGGAAGGTTTTCTTGTATGAGAAACAAGAATTCGTTATTTTTTTATGGTCGAACTTCTCTAGAGGGCGCCACTTACAGCACTATTTCGGTAAATAACTTATCATAACTTTTTTGTGCTACTCTGTATACAACAACTGACCAAAACATCTCATTTTCTGATATTTCTACAACAAAAAAGGTTAATATTTGTTTTTAAAAGTTCCAATGCATTATTTGTACCATGATGATAAATCATTTTTATAATATAATAATCAAGCTGCTTTGGATAATAACTGAGTAGCGTTGCTATGGCGAAAAATATGAATATTTTGATAGTTTTACCTGTTTTATGTAGGCTAAGGGACATGCGCGTCGGCTCAGCGTGATTTGATTGTCGATTCCGTGATGTGTTCAGTTAGGAAACTTATTAGCTCATAATGGCGAGTTAGTTCGATATATAATAATAATAATACTTAAATAACGCCTTATTGAAATACAAACAACCAAGAGGTACATAAGCAGCAAAGCTTAGGGCTACTCTTACACTTACCTGTTTATGTCGGTTGCATTGGATGTTCTAGACATAAAGGAGGATATAATAATATTACAAAGAAAAAACAGTACAAAATCGAATAGAATGAAGGGCTCTAGAGCAATGGTATGTTTTTGTTAATTAAACTAGCTCCGTCGTTGTGGAATCTTAACTTTCTGTCAATTTCAACACCCATTATGCTAGCTGTTAGAGTATGTTGTAACACTGTGCCATGAGTGGTTATCTGGAAAGAGGTTTCAACGTTTCTTTTCCTATGGTACTAGAGCAAAACAGTATTACTTGCGTTTTATCTCGATTAACAGCGAGATTATAATCTACAGAAAATTGATGTACCTTATCTTCCTTATCATGGGCATTTTTTTGTGATTGAGCGGAAAACATGTCATTACTACCAGTCCGACTATGTATCTTTTTTAAAAAAATGCGCGCTGTGCATGAGAGGCTAATAGACACCGGGTGAATTGGCATGTACTCCAAATGTTAGCAAAGAGATAAAAAGAATGCATTAACTTCTGTTTGCGTTACCGTATAAATTTTAATACACACGTCTTGTCTACTTTGCAAGCACGCCGACACGTGACTTTTTTATTTTTCATTATTTTTCACCGCAAACAAAGGGAGTGGCGCGAAAAATCATCCCGGGGCACTATGCACTCTGCATGCACTCCTACTGGAACATAGGCGTACTTTTAGATACTGAGCGTAGGGATGTAACATTTTGAGGTAAAAATCGATTACTTATATATAACTTGTATTTGCAAAAAAAATATTCTAGAAGAAATAAATAGTCGATTTTTGCTTTTTTCTATTTACGTTCACATACACTCATGTTGTTCTATACACGAGAAGAACCTGATTATGGGTTGATGTACGAGTGACGTTAGGAAAGGAATCTACCTAGCTATAAAAAAGCAATTGAAACAGATAAGCATAATATGTCAAATAGTGGAATTTTGTTCCGATGGGAGGTGAATCTATAGGAGACGATCCCAGAAGTGAAAGATCCAAAACAGCATATGTTGCTAGAAGATCATGGTGTGAAGGTCTCTGCCATAAATATGCCATTGAACATATCGGAACCCAGCGTAATAATAATCTTGCACAACAATTTGAACATGAGCAAGTTGTCAGTCAGTCGGGTTTCACGACTGTTTAAGCCTGAACAAAAATTAGATAGATAGATACTTTATTTTGATCCTTTTGATCGTTTACAAATGATGCAAGGATAGGTCATGGCTGATACATACATACAATGTACATTTCACTAATTATAGAAAAATGACAGATCAACAATGACTAAAGCATATTAGGGGCGACACAATAAACTTAATATTGCGAATCAAACTATGAAAAAGAAAGTAGTTATTTAGTTACTACATTAGTAAGAACAATAAACAAACATTTTGGTTAAAAGATTAAATATATAGGATAGATTGATAAAATATATAAATGGACAGTCATAAAAGTAGATAAAATCGAAACGCTTAAACAATCAGACTTAACGTACATTTAAACCATGGTACACAAAACATCACATAGAATAAATTGGTATAAAGTTTTAGTCAGACAGAGTGTAAGGATACTTGTCAATAAGACTTCAGATGGACCATGAGAAGGTTAATGTTGGTAGTTGTCCTGAACTGTGTGGGTAACAGATTGTAAATATTTGTGAAATTAAATAAAATAAGGCCATTTTTATCTTAATCTTTTATTGAAACTTAGAAACTATGCATGAAAATCAATATCAGACAAATGTCCGCCTATAGAAGCCGCGGAAATCTGAGCCCTCCATCACTTTTTGGTAGGTTTCGGGAGGAATATTTTCAGTCGCTTCCGTAATATTGTTCTTCAGCTACTCTGAAGTATTTGGTTTGTTGACATAAACCCTATCTTTAAAAAATAATCATAAAAAAGTCAGGAGCCGTTGAATCCGGTGACCTTGGTGGCCAGAACACCAAATCGAGAAATTAAACGTCCCAGAAATATTGTTCGCAAAAGATTCATTGTTTCCCTTGATTCATTGTGTGACAAGTTACTCCGTCCTGCTGGAACCACATGATTTGCAGGTTAAATTGTTGGATTTTAGGAGCCAAAAAGTTGTGTACCCTATCACGGTAACATTCGCCAGTGACAGTACGAGCATCATCAAAGAAGCATCTTCATCATCATCTTCAAAGAAGTAAGGTCCATACCAAACTGCGACTCGACGAGGATTCATATCGAAGTGGGGTAATCGCTCATGATCAGTTGTCGGTAAAAATCGTTATTTTCGGTATCAAGCTGCAATATTGCATGACTGTATTGTAAGCGACTTCCATGGTCACTAGGCTGTAGTTATTGGCTTAACTCAATTTTGTATGTCCGCAAATGCAAGTCTTTTTTTTAAAATAATGCATAATGCGATGATATCTGGAAGACGTCTCAGGACGCTCCACTACACTTTCACAAACTATCTCGATATTTTCCGGAGTAGGAACAGTTCGAAATTTTCGCACCAACTGACGAATGGTGTTGACATTGGGCACATTATTTCAGATATCTTCCCGCAAACACGGTTTACCATTACAAAAATGCATACGAACCGTCTTACTTTTATTCAATATGTAACGGTTGCTCTGGCTCCATTCATCATTTATTAATCCTGGAGGCTAATTCTTCCTGTGATGGAACACTAACAACTACTGAAGTGTCGTCCGCATAATTGATCATAAAGGCAGATCGTTAATGTATATGATAAATAGTAATGGTGCCAAAATCCAACCCTGAACGGCTCCCAAATTCACGTTGTTTTCTGAAAAGCAGCGACCGTTGACTCTTGCTATAATTCTCCTGTTCTATAGAAATGAAATAATCTAGTCTAACAAGAAACACCTAATTCCGACATGGGACAGCTTTTGTTCGATGAAGGATATATCAATGGTGTCGAAGGCCTTCGATAAGTTGAAAATAATGCCAGCAACACATCTATTTAGATGAAGCTCGTGGTAAAAGTGATTGAAAAAGCCAAATCTCGCTGTCGGTATAGAACATGTAGCTCTAAATCCATGCTGACTATCTGCGACAGTTTCTTTCTGAGTTTTATATCTATTATCCCGTTATATCAGCATACGAGGGATGTATTTTAAGTTTTGCATATAGAAACATAGTAGGCAGCGCGGATCGAACGTCAGTACTGAATCTTTACCTGACTCTTTAGTAAACTTAAATTCAAAGTTTCACAAGAACACGTGCAGTGTTCTCACTACAGTGAATTTTTAAGTGTCACCAAGTCATTAGAAAAATGGAACTCAACCGAGAACATTTTCGCGCCATAATTTATTACAACTTTCAGAGACAATTATCGCAACAAGAATGTCTTGCTGAGTTACTGTCTGTTTTCGGCAACGAAGCGCCACATCACTTCGACAATTCGACAATTTCCCGTTGGTATGGAGAATTCCAACGTGGACGGGTGAGTCTTAGCGGCGATCCCAGGGTGGGTGCACCAAAAACGGCAGTCACCCAGGAAATGTCGATGCTGTGCGCAAACTCATCATTGAAGATAGACATGTGACATATCGCGAGATTGAGGCGTCCTTGAAGATCTCAAAGACCTCAATTCAAAAAATTTTACATGAAGAATTAGGAGTAAGAAAATTAGTTTCTCGTTTGATACCCCAGCTGTTGACTGAAGAGCAGAAAGCAGCCAGGGTTAATTGGTGTCAAAAACGCTTGACCGTTTCAATTCCGGAAACTCAAGAAATGTGTACAGCATTGTTAGTGGTGATGAATCGTGGATTTAGTGTTATGAACCAGAAAATAAACAACAGTCGGCTGTTTGGGTGTTCCAAGGTGAAGAAAAGCCAACAAAAGTCATCCGTTCAAGCGGGTCATATTGCAACAATTCTTCTTAATGAGCAAAGAACTGTTACTGCGGATTGGTATACCACCATTTGTTTGCCAAAAGTCATCAGCGAACTTCGCAAAATCAACCCCGAACCAAGACAATGCAAGCTCGCACACAGCCCAAAAAACAAGGCAGTATTTAACGGAACAAAACCTGTAATTATTGGACCATCCTCCATATAGACCCAATCTAAGTCCTAACCATTTCTTTACTTTCCCGAAAATTAAAAACAGACTGCATGGTCAAAGGTCCCAGTCACCAGAAGAAGCAGTTGACGCATTCAAAAATGCCGTTTAGGGTCTGCCAGCAAACGAGTGGAATGAGTGCTTCGAAAATTGGTTCGAGCGCATGCAGATGTGTATTAATCTTCGTGGAGAATACTTCGAAAAACAATAAAGTCATTTAAAACTACCTACCGTGTTGTTTTATTTCCATATGCAAAACTTAAAAGACATACCTCGTATTTCAATAATTTTAAAGAATATCAACAGTTAGAAAATGGGTCGATAATCATCCATATCTGTATCGTCGCCTTTCTTAGAAACTGGAATAATTACAGGAAGTTTTGGAAGCTCTAGAAATTTGCCTTGAAAAACGAACTGATTGTTGAAAAACGCTAGGGGTGCCGCAATTTCACTGTATGTTTCACCACACGCGCAGGTTAGAAATTTTTGGCACAAATTATGACTGGCGTCGAGACTTGGGTGTATCATTGATATCCTGAGACAAAAACAAAATCCAAGCAGTGGGTTCATAGAGGGCCTCTGCCTCCCAAAAAGGCACGAACGCTGGAAAATTGATGACAACCGTTTTTAGGGACATCAGAGATATCCTCATTGAATGCATGCCCACAGGGATAACTGAAAAATAAAATTTCCAAAAAATCGTTCGTCTTTTGTTTCATGGCGAGGTAGATTTCTTTTATAATACCCCTCATACATTGTCGGTCAGAGGTTACTTCAGAAAAACCAGTTATCAGTGGAGCCTTTTAGCGGAGTATATATCATAGCGGAGCCATGTAGGTCATATTTTATATGAACTTGTCACATTATTTTTTGTGTTCTATGTGAATTCGGGAGACTAGCCACATATTCTTTACCACGAAGCATAAATACGTGAATAATCCTCCTTGAGCTACAGCCAAGCACAAAATTCGCTTTTATATTCCAATTGAATTTTCTAACACCCCTCCTCGTTTTTGAAGGACCCCTTTTCAATTTCATCCTCCTCCCTATCATTTTCTCCGAAATTAGTCGAGGTTTCCTATCAACTGTAAACTAGCCGTTGTAATGAACTGGAGATTACAAGAATACGACAAGATTCGATCATTCCACCGAATTGAACTACAAAAGGAAAATAATATCGCTATATTGCCGAATGCTCGGCGAGCTTTGTCTGCAAATTGGGTGGAATTGCATCGAAGTTACTCTATGTGGTTTTATTATTTCCTAATTATTCATTCCGTCAAAGTGAATTCCATTTAGATCGAATATACAGAGTGTTTTTACTTCCTAGGGTCTATGGCGAGGTATTGTAATAACAAGAGAATTCGAAATTGAAATATCACGTCTTCATGACCTTGAACTGTTAGCAGATGTTAGTATGTGCGGGAGGATTATGAAAATTGAATATTGAACCAGTCAATCTTATCCAGTTGAGCTTGGTTCTCCGTAATTTTAAATCTAATATGGCGGATGGTATAACATTGCGATTTATCATTCTCATAATAATAATAATAAGAGCGAAACAGAATAAGCAACGACATCTTTCTAAATCTAATGGAAAAGATAAATCAAGCTCAATACTTGGGGAGACGACATGCTAAATTCAATATAATAATAATAATAAATCGTTGATGGGAACATAAAAAAAATTACATAAAACTTGAACAAATTCTAGCTACTTTCCTGAAATACTGCAGAATTCGGATGTTACTACCGTACAGAAAGGTCCGCTCTTCCATTTAACTGAAGGAAAAGATACGTTACTTATTCACCTAGATCGCAAACAACTTGATCCAAAAGAAGTTAAAAAAAACAGAAATGAGAAACTGTTGTGGACACAGAAAAATGAGTTAAATTATGTATGTTTCATATTATAGAGTCAACAGGCAATAGAAAATTTTAAATAAATTCATAAGCAAACTCCTGTATGAAATCTATACCTTATTGTACAGCGGTGTGACATTATAAGAAAAAGAACCTTTGAAAAACGATGTACAGAATCTAGGAGTAGAAATTAAATGTCTGTAACACAAGTTGAGATCGTGGACTTCTGTTCTATGACGAATTTTGTTATACAGATAAGCAGGAGTTTGTTCGATGATAATCTTATGAAACATATCGTCGGTCTCCGCACGTACCGGCCTAACTAACATTTTACAAATTTTACAGGAGAGCTAGAAAACGAAAATCGGCAATAAATGCGACTGAAAATTACCTACTGATTTTTTAGTCTGAACGTTGAAGGTTGAGAAGTATAATACGGCATATTTGCAATCTAAAAAAAGTATTTTTAAATTTTCAGTTCCTTTTATTAACAGGTAAATGAAAGCTGATTTTGAAATACTTTTCTTATATATTAGGTATAGCAAGTAATATAATTCGTTAGAAATGCTACCTTGCAATACCTAGCAACACATACAGGGTTGCGCATCGAAAACGAAACAGACGCATTTACTGGCAGCTCAGTTTTTTTTTATAAAAACGCTCAGACCCGTCGATTTTGTTTTCGAGGAGGACACAAGATTGGCAAAAAATCACGTTAATACGTACAGCCCCCTGGGCGGGGGTGACACCAACCCTAAAATCTTAAATGGAAAGGGGGGTCGAGTGATACCTTATTTTAAAGGTCTTTCAATTCCCTTTATAATGATATAAAATTAATGTACTTCAGTTCAGTAGTTTTGAAGATTTATTGATTTAAAGCTTAAAGCAGACTTTAATAGGTACGTCAGATTAGTTTGTATTACTTTCAGAAGAAATTTGACGAAGCAATAGAAGTGGCAGTTTTAGGGCAAGTTTATGTAGATCCTACGTTAAGTACCCTCAAATCGGAGACTGTGTGTGGTATTAGTCGACATATTGTCCAACGGATTCTAAAGGCCCATGGTTTTCATTCGTATAAAATTCACCTGGTACAAGAACTTAATGAAGACGATTTTCATCGGCGATTACAATTTTGTGAAGATATGAGTGAGCGAATTATAAACGATGAACATTTTCTATTCAACACTTGCTTTTCCGACGAATGTTCCTTTATCTTAAATGGCGTAGTAAATCGTCATAACTGCCGATATTGGTCTGATTCTAATCCCAGAATTTATCATGAGGTTCATACACAGCAGCCACAAAAATTAAATGTTTGGGCTGGTATTTTTGGCGATCATTTAGTTGGTCCTTTTTTATTACCTGGAAATTTGACCGGTGAAATGTATTTGGAATTACTGGAAGACGCCATAGATCCTGCATTAACAGCCATAATTGAAAATCAGAATGATCGGCGGTACATTGCGAATAGGTTGATGTTCCAACAGGATTGTGCCCCACCACATTACGAATTACGTGTTCGACAATATTTAGGTCAGACGTTTTCAGATCGATAGATTGGTAGAAGAGGTGCCATTGAATGGCCCCCAAGACCGCCAGATGTATCACTTTTGGATTTCTTTATGTGGGGTCATTTAAAAATCAAAATCTATGCTACTCAGCCAACATCATTAGAAGACCTGCGACAAAGAATTGTGAATGAGTGTCTTCAAATTACTCCTTAAATATTGCAAAATGTGCGGCAACGTTTTGAGCAAAATCTTTATTATTGCATGGAGAGTCATGGTGGCCATTTTCAACATTCACTTGCCTAACGGGTCAGTTCATTCTTCATTTTTAAATTACTTTGCTGCCAAATGTATTGATCTACACTAATGATGATGTATTAGTTTTATTTAAGCTTTAAATCAATACATCTTCAAAACTACTGAACTGAAGTACATTAATTTTATATAATTATAAAGGGAATTGAAAGACCTTTAAAATAAGGTATCACTCGACCCCCCTTTCCATTTAAGATCTTGGGGCTGGTGTACACCCCCGCCTAGGGGGCTGCACATGCTAACGTGATTTTTTGCCAAACTTGTGTCCCCCTCGAAAACAAAATCGACGGGTCTGAGCGTTTTTTTTAAAAAAACTGAGCTGCCAGTGTTTCGTTTTCGATGCGTCACCCTGTATAAAACAGAACAAAGTTGATCATAAACGAATTAAGTAAAGTATGAGCCCAAGATTACAAATTTGTTACACCTTGGCCAATCTATAACTCGAAAATGTAATAGCACTAATTGTGAGCATTGATAGGTATTTTTTTGATGGTTGTAGAAAAAAAATTATACGAGCAATGCCTCGAGCAACTCCTGCCTATTGTTTTGAATAAAAGAGGGTGATCTGCCACCCCTTATTGGACACGACGCAAATATTGGATACAATAAAAGACCCCGACATGCATACATTAATAGAAGCACGGATTAGCTACCCCAAAATTGCAATCGCAACCGAAAATATTAAACGTCATATTAAATATCAAAAGGGGTCCCTCTGGGGCTTCCTATGTACTTATTGATCGACCAGCCAAAGATTGCTAGGGACGAAAGGGGGAAATGCGATGAAAAAACCTTACCATTAGACGATTTTATATGGAGTCATAGGCGGAGATCGGAGAGACTTGAATTATTAATTGAATTTATATTTTATTACAACTGGTAGTATTAATATTTTTTTGCGATTCATAATGACGTGATACCAAACATACATTATAAGAAATAAATATACACAAACACTGAATATTGAGAACAAAATAAATATATTTTTTAGGCAACAAGTAATATTCCTATGTACGCATTATGATTGAACAGCAAAACAAATTATGCATTCTTCTAAAATAGAATACAACAAGTCAAAAATATCTGACTGAATAGAAAAATATAGGAAAACAAAAAGTAATTTCTTGATGAAATAACCCATAAACAACACATAGAATTAGACTTTCTACTGAGATACTAAAAGCCACAAACCAATAGTATAATAAATGAATATCTAAAAATTCTAAAAGGTAGCCAATCTAGTATAGTTTCAATCCTGATTAGAGTCATGATCACTGTCTGAGGAACTGTCATTGCTATCACTTTCACCTCCTATGTTGATTATTATTTCTTCCTGTATTTCTTGAATGAGACTGTCTTTTTCCCAATATTCATCTTCAATTTTTATAACATGTCCAATAACCTTTTGCCAGTCACTGGCACTTACTGAAGCGATGGCCTTATTAGAAATTTCATCTAGTTTTTTTATAGTAAATTCGCCGCTTGTATTATGGCTTCTAATGAAAAATTTTACTTGTGCCCAAATCATCTCTATGGGATTAAACTGACACATATAGGGTGGCGTTCGAAGTGGGGTGTGTCCGAAACTTCTTATTAAATTATCTATCTTATAATTTTTCTCATCAGATGGTGGCCTATGTAGACAAGCTATTTCATAAAGCTCCATTTTTTTAGCATTAGGATCATGCTCTATACCTTTTTTGCTCAACCACGTGATGATGTCTCTTTTTAGAGAAGATCTAGTTGGAGGCTTGTCTTCCAAAGCTGAATGGTAAGGTGCATTATCCATTATTATAATACTATTAGGAGGAATGTTAGGAAATAGTTTTTCAGTAAGCCACTTCGTGAAATTTTCTTGGTTCATTTGACCGTGATAATCACCAGTGGCACAGCCAGCCTTGAAAATGAGACAGGCTCCAGGAACAAAACCATCTTGCGAACCCGCATGAACAATTATAAGTCGTCCTGGAAATGAATAAATAGCCTCATTTTAGTGTTATTTTAAGTTTGCCAACACCTTTTTGAATCACTATGTATAAAAAACATATTTTTGAGAAAAAAATACTTGCAAGGGATTATGTATTCAATTAGACAAATTAAATGAGCACTTATTAAGAATATTCCAAAATTGAGAAAAATGTATAATAAGCAAAATCGAGGTGAAAGAAACTTTATTACCTGTAGAACTTATATTGCTCAGGACACCCATAATTTCTTCGCTTTGCCAGCATTTCTTGAAAGTGAGGTCATTATCAACCCAAGTTTCGTCCAAATAAATAATATGCCTTCCTTCTTCCCGGAACTTTTTAATAGACCTAAGATACTTGTATCGCCAATGTAAAATACTGGGTCTTTCCATTAGTAATTTCCTTTTGTTGTGGCATTTACGCCAGTAAAATCCTTTTGCTTTTAAAAGCAGCCTCAACGATTCTTTACCAAATGGAAATTCCATTTCTTCCTTCAGTTTGATTAGAAGTTTACTACAAGTAGGTACCACTTTAAAATCACAGTAAAATTTTTCTATCATTCTCCGAATAATGGAAAAATCGACTCCATCAATTTTTTGGATCACAGAAGGGCGTGATCTCTTTTTTCCGGGAGAAGCTAAAGGCTGTGTGGAGGTTGCATTTTGCCTGTCTTTACCTTCTTTTCTAATTTTACTTATAGTTCGTTCACTAACACCCGTATAATATGCCGCCCTTGCATTTCTAGCTACCAGTGGATAAACGAAAGTATTGTTAGCCGCTTCTGCATCGCAAGCACGTATCACGTTTGCTATTATTTCCCTTGCCTGGCTGTGAATAACTTTCCCATGCTTGAATTCCATTATCACCACTAAACAGTAAATTATATTTTCAAAGTATTTGCCAACTGCCTACGCCTATGGGAGTAGGTTTATAAATGACCGTGCCATCGGCACGTTATTCTAGTTTCAGATAAGATAAGAGTTTTGGACCAATCAGCGACCGGATGTTTACCTGCGGCCTGGGTTTTCCAGCTACATTGCCAAATTCAGCGGAACAATTCTATATCTTAAATATGTTAATATGTATGGACCGCATTTTATGTAGAACATCTGACAACTTCGCAATTTTTTGTCCGCATTCTTTCGGCTTGCAATCTTTCGCTGGTCCAACATTAGCTGACAATCCTGACAGCTGCTTTTAGCAAAGCCGCACTAGTGCATAGTCGTACGTAAATCGTTTTATAGGGGTAAAACTAACGAATATTATGATATAGCGTTGAAGGAAGTAATTTGAGGAACCGAAACTCTTCGGCTGGGTTCCGTTGCAGATAACAAAATGACGAGGGAGAGTGTCAACTTCTATACGCTTGGGGGAGGCTTCTATTTCACAAGTAAGGCACACTGTGAACCAATTTTGTCTGACGGCTTGAGTTCAAAGTGTACGATAGAGAAGTGTGCTCATCACCCCGTTGCCAGTATGTCACACTGTTGAAAATATGGTTAAGTTTATTTTCTCTACGCCCAAATGATGGTTTTATTTATACGTATACATTTTTGAATTGTGAACTGTATCGAATCTGTTCAGGATCGATTTCGGATCGGTCCTAACGGCGCTTGATTTCACATCAGGATCGCTATAAATTCTGCAACATTGCATCGTTGATTCGCTTGGCAACACCGCATCTCGTATATTCCAAGGCAAGGTTTCCATCTCCATGATCACAGATGAGTGATGTTGATCAGTACCCCTATAGTGCTCATTGGGAAGTGTCGTCTTGGTTTGAACTGGTTTTCATCTGCGTACACGCAGACAGTGATAATTTGTATTGCGTAATGGTATTTGTTACATTTTCCGACCGCTCGCTGTCGCAAAATGTAACAATAACTAAAGATGTGTTGATTTTAACACCATCGCTGGAATTGATCGGTAATTCTAAGATAAATTAAAACATTAAGTTGCATCAAACTTGAAATAAATAATTCCAGTCAAAGTGATAATAAAATATTAAATTAAATGTTCGAACAGACCTCGTTCTTGAGTTTGACAGTAGCTTAACCTACTGTAGAAGTCTGTGCGAAAATTTACATATTGAACTGCCAGCCGTGAGACAAATTTGGTTCTCCCTGTATAAGAAAAAACGTATTAGGCCGTGGGCTTGAGCCCTAAAGACCTCCCTCCTGCATATGCTCTTGACACGTTCAAATGTTAAATGTCGCTGTGGTTCATTTCGCGTCGCGTTTTCTCAATATGCGTTCACGTTAAACCTGAAACATAATTAAACTATAGGATTTTCATGCACTGCACCGATAAGAGTCATCAACAATTTGCCGCTGTACCGCCAGGATACCTTATACAGCTCAATAACCAATGGTTGCAATTAGTTTCATTTTTCCCACATTGAGAGACCTTCTAGTATTTTGCCTATTTTTGTTTTCGACTGTACATCATAAGACACCCCTTTTATGCCGACTCTGTAGTTTAAACCCTAACCCACGTCTAAGCCTTCTCTTGAGTCACCTACGCTCTAATACGCCCCCTTTAGCTGTCCATATTTCACCCAGGGGAGTTTTGATAAGAATTATGATTTTAGGTACGCTCAACTGGCTCTGTTCATCATAATGGATGGTATAGATATATATTCAGTCAGTGGGTCCGTTATTCTGTATTTTGCAGATTATCGGGCTTAACATCGCGATGTAATAAAAGCCTAAGCAAACAAAAAGGGTCATTGGCACCCTTTGCTTCTCGTACACACACAGGAACTGTTTAGTGGTAGCAGAGGATAGTGTCCACAAAAATATTTTTTCGACAATGATATTCTACTTAATACCAGGTTGTATTTGGAGATGAAGTCGAGAGAATAACAATAGTATCAACAAAGCTTAAAAATAGTTGAAACAGGTGTAGTAATATAAAAGTTAGCAAAGTATACATTTCAGACAGTAATACAGAGGAAACAATTTGTTTTAAGGTGGCTCCGATGCAGTGAGTTTCAAGCCATTTACAAGGGTTCAGCTGCTTCAAAACTGACACTCCATGTTTCAATATTATTGAATGAAATTCATACAGTATGTTGAGAAGATAATTGCCCAGCGTGCACTTTTTGAAATTTTTTTTTGCACAAGTTTTATGATGGGTTGAAGTGCGCACTTTTTCTGTTCAACTTCGCGATTTTTTTAAAAAGAACCTGGTGAAAAAAATGAAAAAGTGGCTCTACAGCACCCTGTGGGGTTTTGTTTTCAGCACTCTGTGAAAATTTCATCCAAAAATATCAAAAAATAAAGCGTCAATTTCGATGCGCGCAAACCTCTACAAATCGTATTTTGGACGAATTTTGTCTACTGTTTCGTGCTGCCAACACAAGCGTTGCGGCGCAATGTACGGACTGAGAAAGGACGTATTCAGATAATTTGGTGGCCCTATTTCATATAATATCGTGTAGATAAGTCGTTCTGCAAATAGGTACTCATAATCGCGATCGCTGATACTCCTCGATTTTAAAACAGTTTTACTTCCCACGTCGTTGGCGAGGAAGTATTGTAATCGCGAAAAATTTCTAAAATGAGATGTTATGTTTTTTAAGTCATAAGACATCTACATCACGAAAAACTGTATCACTCATCATCAACTGGGAAATTATCGCTCGGATTTTTATGAAATTTCCACACGCGGTTACTAGTATGCCAAAGCTTTGTAGTTTTAGTCCAGTGGCAACGGTGCTATAGGCAAAAAAGAAAAAGTAACAATTGCTGAAACTACGTTTTTGACGTTTCAGGGGTTCCTAATCATTGACATAAAAAATTGTACTGCTTACAAAGGGGGGGTTGAAATCAGTGAAACACGTTCTATTACTAAGAAGCTTCTGATCCCATCGATTACAGGAAATTTAAGTATCGAAAATCCGATGAATAATGTGCTCACGATTTCAATAAATTGGTACCTGCTCTATAGGTTTGACACCAACAGCCAACAGATCTGCAACTACCGACAGTAGGGAAGAATAAATTCGAATTTGGTAGATTTTATACCTGCATTTTCATTTGAATTTCATAACCCGTGAAATGTACCCATTTCACCGTTACCTTGTGTGTTCTGCAGCTTGTGATGTTGTGGGTGCTATTAGAGCTTTTTACAAAATTTTGTCTTTGCGCAAGAATTATGGTGGGTTGGAATGCTCATTATTTGTACTCAACCTCTTGATATTTTAAAAAGATCCCAGTGGATAAAATCGAAAAAGTGGATCGTTGGCACCCTGTGGACTTTGTTTTTAGCACGCTGCAAGAATTTCATTTGGAAATAATTAAAAGTAAGCTGTGAAGTGCAAATCGGTTTTTGGGCGAAATTCATCTACTGTTTGGTCCTGCCAGTCCAAGCGACGCGATGGTGCGTTCCGACTAAGAAAAAATGTATTCAAATAATTTTATATCTTTCCTAAAATAAATTCAAGAACTCAAATTCTAATTCGTTTATTCATGTGAATAAACACAATTATGTTATGTTATGTCTGGTAGATGGTAACAATTGAACGAGGGTCATAAAAATATCTTACGCCGTCAAAGTAAGAGGAAACAGTTAGGTAGTTTTTGCAAAGCAATAAACAGGTAGGCTTTACCTGGATTAAGTACATGTCTTGTCTACTGTAATAGGTAGATGGAGGTGATGCTGCCACAAATGGATGTGTGCGATCAATAAACAAACCACAATATTGAACTGTCGTGTCCAATGATTTTTGTATTGCCTTACTACAAAACTCTGTTGGGTATATGATGGAGTTTATTAGAACTTTACAGCTTGTTGTCTGCCTTCTTCTACAAACCTCACCAAATAGAGACGCTGTCAACCTTATCGTCCGATGAAGACGCCACAAAGCGCAGTCCTGTGATTTGGTGACTTGTTCGATATGCAAAATCTCGTCGTCACTTTTTCTAAGTTTCCCTAAAAATTCTTGCTTAGCAACCTCCAAATCAATGTCGTTCATGTCAGGTTTTAGACAGAATTCGCCATGAAAACTATTATATATTTTCTTTGGAATTGATATCCGAATTGTTAGTTATTTTTATATCAACTTTTTTTGGTCCCAGTTTATTTCCAAGATTCTTGCGTTTGAGTCTTTGTGCCATCTTAGTGATAAGCGAGGTTGGACTAAGCTTAGAACGCAAATGTATTTGGACCACATAGACAGGCCGCTCGGTATTGTGGCTCACTACAGCTGCAGCACATCTTCCATGGTATGCCCTCTTTTTGCAATAATTTATTCGCTTACCCCAATGTATTTTGCGATTATAGAGTTGAACTGCTCCACACTATTGTTGTCCTCATCATAAATTGAACTCACTGAATTAAAATTGTCGCATATGACCTTTTATTGTCCATTACCAACCTTGATAAAAAATTCACTCAAGAACAATCACACCAACAAGAGTACAACACAACAATTCAACAACACAATATCGACGAATAGTAACAAGAGTAGAACAATACTAAATGATCACTAGCTGAGTACCAAAATAGGAAACGATTTACAGGCTAGATCGCTAATCGAAATCCGACTCTGTTATTATAAAAATTTACCTAGGTAGACACCCGCAGTCATCCTTTCCTCTTTTAAAGTAGCGCCGACCACTGTCTAAGACCAGCCCGCAATCGTTTCCTTTTCACCACCCCGTTACCTCAGCAGATGGTGCTCGTGATTGTAGGAGCCCCGTTAAGTTATCTGGATTCATTGACTGCCGCAAAAAGTCAAACTTGTACACAATTTCCAATTGGACATCGAAAGTTGTAAAAGGCCCCAGTCGACATAATACTTGCTGGGGGGAATAACACCCGGTTCGGATTCAGGAATAGAGACTATCGAATTTGAAAGATCCTATTTGTATATAGATCCTGTGTAGAGGATTCTTTAACATCGATGATGATGTTTTGGAGTTGCGAAAATCGGAAGCGGAAGTACTATTTTATAATCCCGATGGAAAAATTGAAGTGAAACTAGACGTGTACAGCCTCAGGAGTTGCCTATGAGACCAAAACAGCTACCCGTCATTTCAGATTATAAGTGTTATATTTAAGGACTGTCACATGTTTTACGACATTTTGCCATATGTCAACGAAAGAAGCTGAACGTTCATTTAATGTGTAACTAAGAATGCTACTATCTTTTTGATTTGTAAAAGCATTAAACTTTTAATTTGATATAAGGAATAACAGTTTTTCTAACACGAATCTCACTAAATCCATCTATGCATCATTGTACAATATCTGCTAACTGCAAAGAAAGTTAGCAGCAATGTCAGCTATCTGCACTAATTTTGTCAATTAGAGCTTCATTTAGATAAAAACGCATTAAATATGTGTTAAACGTTATTTATTTTTTGCGACCAAACTTGTAGAGTCTTAAGGCCGGTAGTATCAAACTGATAAGGTATTTTTCGTCCCCTGTAAAATTACGGTTCCTGCATATAGCAGATGTCAGTCGCGACATTTAGAAACTCTTCTTGTATTATCTGCTTCATTGCCTCTACATTCTAAGTGTGTGTTTAACAGCAAGGGGACATTTGTTCAATAGTTGCACAAATTGCTTGAAGTTCATTTATGTTTACTTATAGGCGTCATTTTCAGACACGTCGAAAAAATATTTCATCTGTAATATCACTCTGTGACAAGGAATTACAACACAAAAACATTGGATTTCTTGGTGGACATATTGTTAATGATTCTTTACCTGTTTTTTGTTTCCATGGATGCTGTGACTTGAAACAAATAGCTATAACGTAGAAGCCGTTCGAACGAACTGTAACAACCTCATATTAAAAAAGTTTTTTTAATTTTTTTAGCGAAAAAGTACATTTTGCTTTTTTGACCACCCTGTATTTATCATGAGAAATCGAAAAATGGATTAATTTGGATAACATTGAGTAAAGTGAAAATTGTTTGATACTCACTAAATTTGATGTATTTTTAAGTAAAATACTCATTAGTTCGACAACTAGTAACCAAAATCAATAAGTATGTTATGACAAACGTGTTCTTTTAAAAGGGCCTTTCCGAATGTGAAATAAGAGGTAGGGCATTTCAACTCAGAAAAATCTACGTGAGTGAGATTTGTGACACCCTATATAGTTGTAAATACATGCCAGTTATCATAAATAATTATCCTTGATAACCTTTTGCTTAGAAGCAAAACATTTTCGTACGGTTGGGACACCCTGTATAAAACGAATTTCACTTTCCTGACTGCTTGTCCTTCCCATGGAGTAGGGATTTTTTTCACGAGATTCTTTTAGCCATTACTGCAAATCTACTAGGATAAAATCACTCTGTAATAATGAACTTTAATTGAGATGGAAAAAAATGGGTAATTGTAACTTTTCATTTTCAGTCAGATGAAGGATCCGCCTAGAATGGCATGCAGCGAGTGGAGTTTCAACTGAAATGCCCTCCATCCGTAGTTTATTAAAACTTTTAACATAATTCTGAGCCTGCTCGTTTAGGTCCTCGACGAATTTCACCGCACTTTTACGGAATATTATGTGATTTTAATTAAATATCCTGTATGATGTTCCCAACCGTATGGGTACACAGGAAAGGAACGACTAGAAATTTCGGTAGGGTCTACTCACTAAACAAGTAATAAAACCAGTTTGAAAAGCATGTACAGTCAGGGTGCTCCATAATAAGATGTCTGGTATACTACAAAACATTCATGGAAAGAACGCCCTTTTTGCAGTGAAGTGTCACCTGCCACTATTTGTATTTATTTGCAAAATTGATATTTAAATTGTTTTTCATAAAAGCAGCTTTGCGATTGAGAAAAACTAGTCAAACAATACAAAATTGAGTTCTTTACACTGTGGTAAATGAAAATAGAACAATATAAGTGACTATTCCAATTTATTATATTATTATATATTAAGATTATTTGATAAAAACTATAAATACGAATCACAGAACTTCAATTATCACGCTTCTCAGCTAGCCCAGAAAGGGTTTCACTTTAATACAGATAAAAACTATCGAGTTTCATTGTCATATTTCTAAACATAAAATACAAAAGAGCTACAACTTCGTTTGGAAAAAGCATTGCTCTAAGAAAGTACAGATCAGCAACGTTTACTGTTATCTATGAGATGAGATAAGCCGCCTTCAATTCACAGAGTATCCCAGATAAGGTCACATCACCTCAGTTCAATAAAATTATTGCACATTCATTTTACTGAATTTCCGTGTAAATGTAATAAAAATCCTGTCGCAAAAAGGTCAAGCGTCAGATTTTACAGCCTCATAAACAGGGTGGCGCATCGAAAACGAAACACGCAGCTCAGTTTTTTGTTTGAAAAACGCTCAGAACCGTCGATTTTGTTTTCGAGGGGGCCGCAAGTTTGACAAAAAATCACGTTAGCACGTGCAGCCCCCTAAGCAGGGGTGACACCACCCCCAAAATCTTAAATGGAAAAGGGGTTCGAGTCATACCTTATTTTAAAGGTCATTCAATTCCCTTTATAATGATATAAAATTAATGGACTTCAGTTCAGTAGTTTTGAAGATTTATTTATTTAAAGCTTAAATAAAACTAATACATCACCATTAGTGGAGATCAATACATTTGGCAGCAAAGTAATTTAAAAATGACCCGTTAGGCAAGTAAATGTTGAAAATGGCCACCATGACTCTCCATGCAATAATAAAGATTTTGCTCAAAACGTTACCGCACATTTTGCAATATTTGAGGAGTAATTTGAAGGCACTCATTCACAATTCTTTGTCACAGGTCTTCTAATGATGTTGGCTGAGTAGCATAGATTTTTCTTTTTAAATGACCTCACATAAAGAAATCCAAAGGTGATAAATCTGGCGATCTTGGGGGCCATTCGATGGCACCTTTTTTACCAATCCATCGTCTGGAAACGTCTGATCTAAATATCGTCCAACACGTAATGCGTAATGTGGTGTTGGAACATCAACTTATTCGCAATGTACCGCCGATCATTCTGATTTTCAATTATGGCTGCTAATGCAGGATCTATGGCGTCTTCCAGTAATCCCAAATACATTTCACCAGTCAAATTTCCAGGTAAGAAAAAAGGACCAACTAAATGATCGCCAAAAATATCAGCCTAAACATTTAATTTTTGTGGCTGCTGTGTATGAACCTCATGATAAATTCTGGGATTAGAATCGGACCAATATCGGCAGTTATGACGATTTATTACGCCATTTAAGAAAAAGGAACATTCGTCGGAAAAGCAAGTGTTGAATAGAAAATGTTTATCGTTTATAATTCGTTCACTTATATCTTCACAAAATTGTAATCGCCGATCAAAATCGTCTTCATTAAGTTCTTGTAGCAGGTGAATTTTATACGGATGAAAACTATGGGCCTTTAGAATCCGTTGGATAGTACGACGACTAACACCACACACACTCTCCACTTTGCGGGTACTTTAACGTAGGATCTACATAAACTTGCTCTAAAACCTCCACTTCAATTGCTTCGTTCCTTATGGGATTTTCAATGTTGCGTTTTTTATTGGCGACTGACCCAGTTTCCCGAAATTTAGTTAGGAGTTCTAGAACAACAAGGTGGGTGTGTTGAAAAATTTACATTGTTGCCAAACTTTTTGTAAAATAATAAAATTTATTATTTACATATCTAGGTTTATAAGCAATATTAACCTCAAATGAGAACAAAAATAATAGTATAATAAAATTATAGATCTGTACTTGCATAATCATTAAGTATGACAATTATTGATCAGATGACACTATGAAACTACCATATTTAATTGATAGCTTAAAGGTACTGAATAAAAATCCAAATGGGGTCCTCCAAATTTTATGCATGGTATTTATTTTACAGAATTCATACAGAAAAATGCATTCTAAAATTAGGTAAGCTACTGGTGTAAGCTTTTTCTGTACAATAAAGTTAGTCGGAGTTTCTTTCTTCAGCGCTGTCTGAATCTGAATCTTCATCACTCTCAAAGTTGATTATTAAAGGTTCGATGTCTGGTCGATCAAAAATTCGTTCTCTTTCATACCATTTAAAAATTTCTTGCTCAGTATGTCGAACACTATTTTTCCACATGTCTGGGGTAACCGTTTGTAGAGCCTCGTTCCACATATCCAAACAGTCTTTTTCACTGTTACCATCTCTACCAATATGTCTGTTATAGTAACCTTTTGCTATGCCCCAAATTAACTCAATAGGGTTAAATATACAATGGTAAGGAGGCAGACGAAGAACTTTGTAACCCATGTTGTTCCGCCAATTCATCAATCACGTATATTTTAGGTGGTTTGTTTCTAAAAAAGCAGTTATTTTAAGAATAGGAATAAACAAAAGAAATATAAACTGTCGACCAAAATATATATAATTAAGAAGCATTATGTACCGAGCAACAATACTCAATAGCTCTGTTTTAAACATTGTGTTTAAAAATGGTATGTTTTGATTCGTCAACCAGTCTTGGATATTTTTTTTTGTCCATGCATTGTTGGGCACTTTGTTCAATATCATGCTGTGATAAGGGGCGTTATCCAGTATAATCATAGATGGACTCTCCAATTTTTCTAATAACTGATGTTGAAACCATTTCAAAAAATTGTCCTGGTTGATCTCTCCATGGTAATCGCTCAATTTTGTTTTCGAAGAAAATATCGCTTCACTACCCTCAATAAACCCATTTTCATTTCCAGCATGTAATATAATGTATCTAAAATATATTAGTTTTAAATTTTATAGTGCAAATTGTGTAAAAGTACATACCTTTTACCATCTGTTTTAATAGCTTTCACGCTTTTTTGGTTTCCATTTTGCTAAGAGCGACCTATGGTCCCATTTTGAAATATCCAAGTTTCATCGAGGAAGACAAACTGGTATAAGGCCTCAACCTTGGCTTGATTGTATTGCCTTAAAAATACCACCCTTTTCAAAGCTATACTTGGTAGTTCCATGAGCCCTCGTCGCGGATTGTCCTTAAGCCACTTAAATCCAAGATCTCTAAGCAACCGCCTTAAAGACGTGGCACTACCATCAAATAATGCCCTATCTCTTAATCGAGACCATAAAGTTTGTATCGTAACTTGTTCTTCTGAAACCATGTGTAATATGACATTATAATTTAGTTAACAAATTAATGCAAATTTCTGATAAGTTATAATAATAAGATCTTACTTTTGTGATACATATTATAGATCACTTCTCGAATGGCACTTGTATCCAATGTCGCTGTGTTGGTTACACGTTTAATATAACTCCGCTTTTTCTTGGGCGATTCTAAATTTGCATCACTTTTCACACCCTCGGAAATACGACTAACTGTCCTTAAACTAATTTTTAAAGCAGCAGCAACACGCTACAAAAAATGAAATAAAATTTCACTATTATTAATATACATTACATATAATTATTAGTAACCTACCTCTTGAACAGCATTTAAAGGCAACAAAGGCCCGTTGTTGTCCCTTTCTTGCTCAAAGTAGTGCATTAACGAGGCCACGAGTTCCTTACACCGACTATTTAACTGTTTGGGCATCTTTATATACCAAAATTGCCTTTATCTACTCGTAAAATGAATAATTTTGTTTTGAAACAAACAGTTGTTGATTTACAGTATGCGGGGCGAAATCGGTTTAGTGCGTTTACATGTCGATAAGTGATTGGAGCGTTTGCAAAACATTTTATTTCGCATAATGCGTCTAAATTTATCAGAAAGCAACTTATGTGATATTTTAATAACAATGTTTATATGACTATTAACCATAATAAGAGAGTAATGACCATTTTACAATTTATATATCACATTAATATGAAACTGCAATAGAGCAATTGTTTGTGATAGAAACCTAGGCATTAGGTCGGGGAATTTTTATCGTGATGACGTGCACGCCACTTTGTTTGGCGTTGACTATACTTTCGATGCACGTTACTGTTCTCATGTCGCTCATTAAATATTTCTGCTGTTCTATTAGCACACTGATCATTTCCAAAAAATATTTCGATAATTTCAACTCTTTCTGCTGTGGAATAAACCATGGTTAATTTATGTAATAAAGCGTTATAAGTTATTTTAGCAACAAAGTTTGGTCAAATCAATGGCAAACTATGTACTAAATTCCTATTTAAAATAAGTACGAGATATTTCCTTATCTTTCTTCAAGAAATAACTTTTTTGCCACAAAAAACTCTCCAATAGCTATTTTCAACAACAAAATGATAAACAAACCATGGGCGTAGTGAAGAAAAGCATTTACTTATTAAGTAAATTCTTCTAGTCAAATTTCTTCTGAAAGTAGTACAAACTAATCTGATGTACCTATTAAAGTCTACTTTAAGCTTTAAATCAATAGATCTTCAAAACTACTGAACTGAAGCTCATGTATTTTACATCATTATAAAGGGAATTGAGAGACCTTTAAAATAAGGTATCAC